GCGCGGGGCCCGGACCCCGGACCTGGCCATGTGGGGAGCGAACCCTTTGAAAGGTGGCTTCATTAATGACATAGGCTCGCTGTCGGAACCCAAGCAACATAGGAAAGTCCGAAGGGAAGCAGAAATAACCGTTGGCGGGTTATGACTGGAGAATATGGCGTTGCAGACATCGAGTTAGTTACATACAAATAGAGAAAAGTGATTGCAGGCAGGTGACGTCCTGCCTTCAAGTTATCGAAAAAGAAAATTTGTCCCTGAATCTAACGTAAGAGGGAAAAAACCGAATTTCGATTGTATTTTAGATCGACGTTTCTCTAGCACAGAGATATAAGGTTCTGAAATGCGCCACCAGAGCGGCCTGGGGCGGGGCGGGGGAGGGGACACCTCTGCTGCTGAACGGGCCTCATGCTGGGTTCAGGGTTCTGCTGTCACTGTCCGAAAATGGTTAATAATTTTCAACAAAGAGCTCCACCTTTTCCTTTTACACTGGGCTCTGCATAGTTTGTAACCGAGCTTGCCTATGATTGTGAAAGAGTCATGAAAACCTCTTAAAACCTGTTTTTTAACCCCCTCGTTCAACTTCAGAATGTATTTATTTAACTCCTGTGCTGAAGAAAGTTAGGCAACTTTCCTCCCATCCCCACCTCTGAATTTCACTGATTTTGTTATTATTGTTGCAGTGTTGCTGTTTGTGACACATTCTGTTCCTTAACCTCAGTGTCTACTTTCTGTGTAGCATGGCTCTCTAATGCTGGGGACAGAGCAGAAGGAAGCCAGTGCCCTGTCCTGGGGGGACCCACCAGGGGAAGACAGATTACAAACATCAGCATATGAATACATGTGTCAGCAATGAGAGGGCCATGCAGACGGAGATGGAAGCTGGGGAGGGGATGGAGGGTGATAGAGGCTATTTTAAATAAAAAGGTTGGAAGGAACTCTCTGAGGAGATGAGATTTGAGCAGGTCCCAGGTGAAGTGGTCCACGCAAGTGTCTGAGGGGAGAGTGGAAGAGGACGGGGAAGCATGTGCAGAGGTCCAGGAGCCCGAGAAGGGCTGACGTGCTCCAAGAACAACACTGCGGGCAGGGGCGGGCAGGGGCGGGCAGGGGCGGGCTGGGTCAGGAAGAACTGGTCAGACGTGCCAAGGCCTTGCATTCTATTCTGAGTGTTAAGAAGCCTTTGGAGGTGAGAGTGGAGGGGGCAGGGTCTCCGCATGTCGTAGGATTCTTCTGGAGGCTGAAGGGAGCATGGACAGCAGGGAGGGGGCAGGAGGAGAAGCAGGAACACCCTTGACAAGGCCGATACAATAGTCCAGAGGTCAGACCGTGGTGGCAGCAAGGGCCGAGAGGCGGCTGCGTCCAGGACAAGCATTGCGGGAAGATCGAATAGGGTTGCCTAAAGGGCGGGCGGACTGGTTTTTATTCTGCTGACGCATCTCCCTACTCTTCGTCAGTCCTGTTCTTGTACAGAATGGCCTCTGATCTTTTCGCTTGTCTTGTAACCAAACACAGTGCTTCTACAGAAGGGCCAGGCTACGTCTTCTCCCTGAGTCTCCCAGCGCCGTCATGTTCGAGCATTGCATGACGACAGACATGCCACTCTATCACATACATCACTTACTTTTCATCTCCATTATTTTACTGTGAAGGCAATACACTGATTTTTTTTTCTTTTACGCCTACAGCACCTGGTCTTCCTAGGTGGTCTCCCATCCAACTACTAACCAGGCCTGACCCTGCTTAGCTTCCACGATCAGATGGGATCGGGCATGTTCAGGGTGGCATGGCCGTAGACAATATACTGATTTTTTTAAGTTATATTAGTCGCATGAGTTTCCTGGGGCTGCCATAGCAAAATGCCACAGACTGGGTGGCTTAGCTTTACTGTCTCACAGTCTGCTGGCTGGAAGTCCGACATCAAGGTGACGGCCGATTCGGTTTCTTTCGAGGCCTCTCTCCTCAGCTGGCGGGCGGCTGCCTGCTTCCTGTGTCTTGTGTCTTCACCGAAGGCCCTGGTGTCTCTCTCTGGGTCCCAGGTTCCTCCTCTTGTAAGGATGTTGGAGCAGGGCCCACCCTCATGGCCTCATTTGAGGTTCGTGACCTCTTAAAAGGCCCGTCTCCAAGTCACATTCTGAGGTACTTGGGCTGGGACTTGAGCACGTGAATTGGGGGGAACACAGTTCGGCCCACGATAGTGACAGTGACTATTGTTTCATCCCAGTGTAAGGACAGGACAGAGGTGGAGTGGGAGAGATGACCGCCGGCACCCCCAGAGCCTGGCTTTGGAGCCAGGTGAAATCGCCGATGAGGCTTGGGTGTCACCCTGGGGGAAGACGTGGCAATTTGAATTTACAAGGTCTAATCTCCAGCGGGCGCCCTCGCCCTGGCCCCTGCCCACAGCACAGCAGTCCGAGAGGTCCGTCCTTCTAAAGCATGAGTCGGTCACGATGCTCCTTCACCCAGCACCCATCACTGCCCCATCTCACTCAGAGCAAAATCCTAAAACAACCACCCTTCAAACTTCCCCGGGGCCTGCACACTCTTCCCACGCGTGACAGCATCCATCCACACTCAGGACTGAGCCCGAGCCTGCGGGCAGCCGGAGGTACCGGGCTGCATTCCCTCTGGGGACTGCCCTCACCACCGGTCACCGCCCCTCCCCCAGGCAGCCATGCTCCATAATGGTCGGTGGCTAGTAAGGCCCAGCTCCTTGTCCCAATGTGGGACAACTCCACAGGCCATCGCAGCCCTGGAGCTCCTCATGGGATCACTGAGGCACTCGTTGTGACCACCTGACAGTTACCTTCGCCCTCCACCCAGTGCTGCTTCCTCTGCAGACCTGGGCCCCTGAGAGCACCCTGGGGAGTCTCGGAGTCCTGGCTCCAGCTGAGCGAGGTCGCTGGCGGCCACTCCGTCACCCCTCGGCCCTTCTTCTCAGCGGTCCTCTTTTTTTTTTAATTGCGATTGAAATTTACTTCTCATACAATTAACTGTTGAAAAGTTGAGTGGCATTTAGTGCATTCCCGATATTGTGCAACCGCCTCGAGGCTCCAAAAGGAAACCCACACCCATTCAGCAGTTGCCCCCCAGCCCCCCCCATCATTCCTAGCTTCCTCCCCCAGCCCCCCGGGAACCGTCAGCCTGCATTCTGTCACCATGACTGCACCTGTTCTGAGTGTTGTACATAAACGGGACCACGCACTGCGTGGACCTTGGGGTCGCTTCCCCCACCGAGCATGGTGTGTTCAGGTCCGTCCACGCGGCGGCGGGCGGCGGCGCCTCCCTTCCTATGGTCGGGTAGTGCTCCCGGCACAGACGGGCCCCACAGTGTCACCCCTTCTTCACGGAGGGACATCGGGTCGTTTCGCCTTTTGGTGAATGTGAATAGAGCTGCTGTGAGCATGCATGTCCGTGCATTGGCTTGAGTCCGTGCATTGGCTTGAGTCCCGTGTTCCATTCTTTTGGGGCTGCCGCTGGGAGCCAGATGGCTTCTGACGGTGAGGCCCTCCCTGGCCACCACGCTCCTACCATTGGTCCTCCTTTGCTGGCTTCGTGAGTGACCCTACGAGCCTGTGAAATAGCGTGCGTGCACCGACTTGCTTACGGTATGACTCTGCACGCTAGGACGCGGGCTCCTGACCACGGCATCGGCAGGCGTCTGCTGTGCCGTGTGGCCCGGGCTCAGAGCAGTCCCTAAAGTGTAATAAACCTTATCTCAGTCATCTGTTGTCACAATAATGCTGTGGAATAAAGCCTCCCAACATTTAATGGCTTTAAACAACAACCACTTACTCAGCTCCCAGTCCTGCAGGTGGCAGGTGGGGAACTTAGGCGGGGCTCAGCCGGGTGGAAAGCCAGCAAGGGGTCACGGAGCCAAAACACAGGTGACCACTAAACTAAAGGAGGCGAACTGATCGCATTAGAATAGGATGAGAAGTGATCCGGAAGTGATTCCCCCCGGGGGGGCCACTCCCCCCCCGCCCCCCCCTCCCCCGCCGCAGGAGGTGGTCTGGGACTGGACACAGGGAGATTGCAGGCCCAGAGGTCAGGGCCACCGGAGTGCCGGAGTGCCGGGCCTTTTGGGGCCAGCACACAACCCACGTGGCTGGACTGCAAAATGGTGGGGGAAGCGAGGAAGCGAGGCGGGGGACCGAGCGCCGAGCAGGGGGGGCCAAGGAGCACAGACCGGAGCGGGAGACAGACACGGCCCGGGAGGTCCCCTTCCTCTGCCGTGGAAACACGTGCGCCACGCGGGCCTCGCAGTCTCTGCCGTCCGCAACCTCCAGAGTCCAGAGGGCCCCGGAAGCCAACCACAGCTTTGACAGACACCTCACAACCTCACAGGCGTCACAGGCAGGACCACGGAGGCGCAGCCAGCGGGTGCCCCAGGCCTGGCAGAGTCGGGGGTGGATGGGGGTCTGCTCTCCAGGCCGAGGAGAGGGGACAGGACACCGCAGAGTCAGAGCCTCAAGAACACCTGTCTGCATGGAGGCTGTATGGCCCGGGTCCTTCAGGCACTGGGCACAGTGGTGACCACGACAAAGTCCTACCCGGAGAAGCTCAGAGGGCACCTTGTACCAGGAAGGATGTGATCTGGCCACTGGATAATGTCTCTTTCTTTTTTTTAACGCCTACCACACCTGGTCGTCCTAAGTGGTCTCCCATCCAAGTACTAACCAGGCCCAACCCTGCTTAGCTTCCGGGATCAGACGGGATTGGGCTTGTTCAGGGTGGGGGTGGCCGTAGACTGGCATCTCATTCTTATAGGGAGTAAATGCGGGGAGTAAACGGGCATTTAGCTGCAGGCGGGTCACTGGGGACCACAGGGGCCCGTGTCCCTGGGAGAGGTGATGGAGCAGCCACGGAACCTGCTGGAACGAGGCCCACACTGGAGTTCTGGAGCGACGGCCTGGGGCCAGCACCCTCACAGCGCCACCCACACGGTGCCTGCACAGAGTTTCAGGGCATGCACAAGGCGGGGCCGAGATTCCAGCTCAAGCAGAGAGCTCGTCTGCATCTGACACGCGGGGGTTGTCCTAAGCCCTAAAATGTGACTCTTCACATGATCCCACAGTGACCGCAGCATCCTGATGCGGCTCACAGCTCAGCCGGCTCTGAGCTCCTGGCTCCCGGAGTGGCCAGGGACACAGCACACCAGCCCTGGTGTCCCAGCCAGAGAGGCTGGGCAGGGGACCAGTGCACCCGTCTACGTGGACGATGGAAGAGGGGGAAAGGAGCCCCCTGCTGTCTCAGGTAAGCCAGCGCCCTGGTGGCCTCACTGAGGGTCAGAGGTGTCCCCAGCCCCAAAGCCCATAGGAGCTGCTAAGATGGGGGTGGGGTTTTACTAATCAAACACTTAACCTCACTGAGCACCCTGTTCAGATTTGCCCTGTGTTTGAGCACGGGGTGTGTCCATGCCCCCAGGAAAGCACGTGCCAGAGGAAGGCGCCCACCAGGCCCATCAGGCTTCCCTCAAGTCCTCCCGTCCCCCTCCACCCACCCCCAGCCTCCTCGGCCTCCTCATCTCCCCTGCGGCCCCTGCCCTGCTGCTCCCGTCACTCGGCCCAGTGCCAGCCCCTGGACAAGGGGTCTGAAGTCTCTGCAGAACTGGGGGTGACCTCTGGCTCAGGATTCAGGAGGGGCTGAAGGCTAATGTCCTCCCCACCGGCCATGGAGCTGCAAGATGACCCTTCGGCCTGTGACCATGGTCTCCAGAAGCTCCAGCCCTCCCACCTGGCACCCGCAGCCTGTCCTTTGGCTCCTACTGATTTTTGGGTTCTGGGGGGCTGATAAATAGCCCCCTCTTCTCTGCTCTGAGTTCAGAATCAACAAAGCATCGACGCCGAGCAGATGGGTGCAGGGGGGAGGGACGGCTTCTTTCTGGCAGCTTGGACTGGAACGGGACCCCTGCAGGCGCAGGGCACAGTTTCCTGCTTCTCCGCGCAGCCCGACTGCATCGCTGCAGAGCTGGGTGCCTGCAGGTCTCCCAGCGAGGGCGAGCGCGGCCGGGCTGCTCCTCTCTCTGCAGGGAGAGACCAGAAGTCCTTCTTGCCTCTACCTGTGGGTGCCAGGGGGCGGGGTGGGCGAGGGGGTGGGCGGATCTGAAACAGATGGTTCATTAAGGGCCAAGTCGAACAGGCTTAGCAGCTTCTCCAAACCTCACCAATCGATGAGCCACTCCTCTATGGGGGGACTGGGAGAGAGGGGATGGGTCCCCCAACATTCAGGACCCCTTTACTCTTCCCCTTGGTATGGCCAGGGCCCCCTGGGCTTGGCTAAATATCCTGCCATAGGGCAAGGCAGGGCCCCTTGGAAGGCCATGCGTCCCACAGGGCCCTGGTCTCCTGGCCTGTGCCTCGCTGCCGTGGGCCCAGCACAGCATCTGCACTCAGATAGTGGGGGTGACTGAGTGGATCCTGGGACATTGGGGCCAATTTCAAAGGGGGAGGCAGAAAGGGTGGTTGCCTGATCTGGCCCCTCTGCCCAGCGGGCCCGCACCCGGGGCCCAGGTGGAGAAGTCCCCTCATGAGCACACCTTTCATCACATGGGTGAGCTGGGAACAGGGAGAGGCGCGTGCTCATGGAGCACGGGTTCCCACAGACGCCTGCTCAGTAGCCACCGCGGACTGGCAGGGCGCAGTTACCCCACAAGTCACCCGGGTGAGACTTCCCTGTTCCTCCTCTCTCTGCAGGATGCTGGGAGCCAGGAGCCACCCCGCTCCGGGAGCAGCCCACTCACGTCAAGCCCCCTGGGCCCAGCCCTGCAGGTGGGATGGGCGGCAGGCCCGGCCCCCTCCCTTTCCCTGGGAACCAGCTGCCTCAAGTGTCTGACTTTTCTGTCTAACTTCCTCTTCTCTCTGCTTGGCCTGCTGGCCCTGGCCATTGGGCTCTGGGGCCTGGCCGTCAAGGGGTCTCTAGGGAGTAGCTGGGGGGGCCCCCTGCCCGCAGACCCCATGCTGGGGCTGCTGCTGGTGGGGCTGGTGGTCAGCGCAGTGAGCCTGGCGGGCTGCCTGGGCGCCCTCTGCGAGAACACCTTCCTGCTGCGCTGCTTCTCCGCGGGCCTCCTCGCCTTTCTGGTGCTGGAGGCCGTGGCGGGGGCCCTGGTGGTGGCCCTCTGGGGCCCGCTGCAGGACGGCCTGGAGCACGCCCTACGCTTGGCCATCACCCGGTACCAAGACGACCCCGACCTGCACTTCCTCGTCGACCAGGTGCAGCTTGGGCTGCGGTGCTGCGGGGCCGCCTCCTACCAGGACTGGCAGCAGAACCTGTGAGTCCAGCAGCCCAGGGGAGGAGGGCGGTCGGGCGGCCACGCGCGCACTCGCGCACACATACACACTCACGCACACATACACACTCGCACACACATATACACTCACGCACACATACACACTCGCGCACACATACACACTCGCACACACATACACACTCGCACACACACACACACTCGCACACACACACACACTCGCGCACACACACACACTCGTGCACACACCCACACTTACACACGGGCCAGGGGAGCATGCAGGGGCTCTCGCAGAGAAGGGGCCACATCAGCCAGCAGACGTAGAATGCCAATTTGGGGTTTTAGGTAAGGACACCATACAAAACACCTCAATGTCAAATGCGAATAGCTTTCAGGTTAACTCAGGACAGTCTCCTTTTGCGGTGTGTGCGCGTGTCCGCGTGGGTGCGTGTGCCCATGTGCGTGCGTGTGTCCGCGTGTGTCCGCGTGTGTGTGTGCAAGTGTCCGCGTGGGTGCGCGTGTCCGCATGGGTGCGTGTGTCCACGTGTGTACATGGGTCCATGTGTGTGTGTGTGTGTGTCCACGTGTGTGCTTAAGCAGTGCTGAGGAACACAGCACAGTGTAGTCACATTCTGCTCCAGGATATGTTTTGTCATCTGTCCCCCACGTGTAGACACACGGGGCTGCACCTGCCCTCCACATGGCCCCCACGACAGGTGGTATATGCCCCCCCTTGGGCCTTCCCAGGCACCCGATCATGACAAATGGAGTCATGTGGAGACTCTTGAAAACTGGCTATTTGACGCAACAGTCACTAAAATGTGCTGGGCACTCTGGAAGCATCCACATGGGTTGTTCTCGTTTGGTGGCTGCGTGTGATCTCGGATTGGTGGCTGCCCCTTGTGTTGTGACCAACTACCCTGCTGGCTCTCGAACACCTGCCTTAGTGAGGCTCAGTCTTCTGGGAAATGAGACAGTGTCTGGGGAGGAGGACGAGGGGGCAAAGTTGTAGGTCTCAGGACCTGGATGCCCGTTGTGGGTCAGGAGCATCTAAGGGCCGTAACGATGGCAACGCTCCCTCTCGGCCCTGGAAGCTCCTCCAAGCCTCCCACCTCTTGCCACTGCCCAGTCCTGCCCTCACGTCCTACTATGACACATGGACCACTACAGAGACCTCTGCCAGGCCTCAGCCCACCTCCTGCTCAGGCTCTATCTGTTCAGACCAACTCTGCAGCATCTACCAAGCCAGGCCGTCCTACCCCCGCCCCTCACCAAGTGATTACCGCCCCCTCACCATCTCACTGAACATGTCTATTCAGGCCAAGAAGCTGTCACCTCTGCCTTCACGTAGAGGGGAACTGTGTGCCAGGACCGATTACAGAAACCTGGGTGTGGCGTGTGTGTCTGTGTGTGCGCCTAGTACGCGTGCCCGCGCGCACGTGGATCTGCACCTCTGTGCCTCGTGCATCATGTGTATGCATCGTGCATGTGCATTTGTGCTTGCACATGCAGGCATGCATGTGTGCATATGCACAGGTGTGTGTGTGTGCGTGATGTGTGTGTGCCCACTACGCATGTGTGAGGCCATGGGAGTTTGAAGGAGTCTCACACAGTGGGCCCCGCCCTCCGGACTGACGCCTGGTGCGCCTCGCAGGTACTTTAACTGCAGCTCGCCTGGGGTCCAGGCCTGCAGCCTTCCTGCCTCCTGCTGCATCGACCCTCAGGAAGATGGAGCCTCTGTCAACGACCAGTGCGGCTTCAGTGCCCTGGGCTTGGATGAGGATGCGGCTCAGAGAGTGGTGCACCTGGAGGGCTGCGGGGGGCCACTCCGACAGTGGCTGCGGGAGAACATCCGGGCGGTGGGCGGCTTCGTGATCGCGGTCGTGGTGGTCCAGGGGGCAGAGCTCCTGCTGGCCACGCAGCTGGTGAGGGCTCTAGCTGTCCGCAAGGCGGCGACGAAAAGCCGCGGAACCGGCGGGGCGGCCGGTCCTGTCCAGCGGAGCTGCGGCGCCTGTGGCGGCGCCCCAGCCACGCAGGCCCCGGGCTGACCGGCAGATGGGACGAAAGTCGGGGGCGCCGGGATGGGGTACAGGGCTGCAGGCCTCCCCCGCTTCCCAGTGCCAGAGTCCCGCACCAGCCGCTGTGGACGCGCACCTCAGACACCTGGCCTCCTCCACCTGCTGTGCCTTGGGCCCTCAAGGTTCCCTTTCTGCAGGGCGGGCGCCGCCTCCTGCCCGGTCTATTTTCCCAAGGCCCCCCGCCGCCCGATTTCGCACTTCCAGAGCCTCTCGCCCAGACCACCGCCTCGCGCTGCTCCCGCGCTTGCCAACCGCGTTGGCCTGGGTGTAACCGCAGGCCCGCCTGAGCGCTGCTGCCTGGCGGTATCTGCCTCCCAAGGACGGTGCCCGCGAGGCCACCAGGTGGGAGAGAGAAAGCTGAGTGAAATCCTGCTGCTGGGCCCTCAATTCCCACCCCCATGCCCACTTCTGACCCCTGCACTTGACCGCTTCCTCCCGTGCCAGCCTTCCAGGCTCCGCCTAAGGGCCCCGCCCATGATGCCACCCCTGAAGCACCAGTTATCACCACGGCCTGTCATCTGCACTCCTCTGAGGCCACCTCTCCCCTTCCCAGGCCTCTGCCTCCAGAAGGCTGTTTTGCGGGGAGTAAGTGTTATTGAGATGTATCATTCACACAGTAAATTGCACCGATCTTAAGTGGGTGACATGAGGAATTCTTACCTATCTAAATACCTGTGGACCCACCACCACGTCTAGATCCAGCCGAGCAGGCCCCCTCGTCCCCTCCCTGCAGTCACCTCTGCTCTGGCTTTATCATCTTCCCCTTGGGGGGCCTCTCTGGCATTCCCATAGACGGGTCCATGGAGGCCCTTCCTGGGAGCCACCGCCTGGTCAGCCCACCTGGTCCATGTTGATGTGTACTGGGCGGCTTCTGGACGATGACTGCGGCCAGGGACAGTGTGGCGTGGGTCAGTGTGGGGGTGCGCCGGCTTGCTCTAGGTATGGTGTCAGGAATGGAACTGCTGGGTCACTGGTGCATCTGTCCAGCTTTAGTGGACACTAAGGACGGGCTGGCCGGGCCACTGGGCCAGTTCCCCAGTGTCTCTGCACCTGTCTCTCACCTGTGTGGTGGGGATAGGCGTTCTCTGCTCCTAGCGTGGCTGCTGTTGGGCCTTGTCCAGTCCCGCCTCCTCGGTGAGACCTGCCCTGGCCGCTGGGCGTGCGTGCAGCCCCCGCCTCGCCCCTGCCCTGGCCTGGCTGCGTGCGGCCCCCGTCATCGCGGGCCCGGGGGCAGCGCCCAAAGGGTTCCCTTCCCTCCTGGCCTGGCCAGGCCTGTGCCTCTGTCCACATGCTCCTCTGAAGCCACCCACACCCTTGGGCCCTGTCCCCATGCCCAGCACACCCCAGACGGGTCAGCAGGGCACAGAAATTTTATTTTTAAATGGGAAGAGCAAACGTGGGCCAAGGACAAGCTCTCCACAGGCGTGGTGGATTCGGAGGGGCCTCGCTTGCTCTCTGACATCCCAGGACCCCCACCACTCCCCACGCCAACACAGGAGCACCAGCTGGGAATGGCTAGTGGGGTGCTGTCCTCACCTCCGACAGGCAGGACAGGGGGCTGCGGTGTTGGGGACGCTCCTGGGAGGTGCTGCCCTGGCTTTCCAGCCACGGGAGGAGAGGGTCTGTGGGTCAGTGTCTCTGGAAGTTAAGCAGGACCAGGGGGGCCCCAAAACAGTGTCTGGCATGGAAGTGGTGGGCTCTTGGGATCAGGAGGCCTGACACCCCCTCCAATGGTCCGCAGACACAAGCCAGTGATCCGAATGCCTTCGGGGGCGGTCCCCACACTGGAATCCTGAGCAGGGGTCAGAGCGGGCAGCGGGGGTGGGAGGGGCCGTGGCCGGCTGGTCCTGCTAGATGATACCGTACTGGGCCAGCTCGTGCAGCTCCAGATGGTTGAAGGCCTCCCATGGGCAGATGACCGTGATGTCTGCAGGAGAAGGGGCCAGCGTGACCAGGACGGGCCATGGCCTCACCCTGAATGCTGAGCGTACCGGTCCTGGTGAAGACCCACCTCCCAAGACACTCCAGCTGTTGGGGGGGGCGGTGCCCCACCCCGGAAGAGAGGGAGTGAAGCAGGCCCAAGGGAGGAGAAGGAAGAAGGTGTGCCTTGCTGCTGGGGGGGAGGGGGCTGCAAGGGCGTCTCATTTTCTTCTGGCCCCTCCAAGCCCCCGGTGAACCCACCCTGTGGGAAAAACCCCACTTCCGGGGGATGCGACACTTGGTGTTGAGAGAAAATGAAGGACAGGCTGGGGGCAGTGCCCCAAGTAAGCCTGGGCCCCGCATATTAGTGGACAGGTGAGTGGGGGGAACTGGGGGTACCTAGCAGCTGTCATACCTGTTCCCAGGCCTTCCATTCCAGGAATGTCATCCCCAAACCTGCAAGGACAGAGCGGTCAGGACAGTGGCCAGGGAGGGAGTGGAGCGGGGGGCGCAGCGGTGTGCCTGCCCTTGAGTATAGGTTCCTAAGAGCATGGAGTATCTGTGAGTGTGTCCCGGGTGCACGTGGGGGGCTGTGAGTGTGCCCCAGGTGTGCATGTGGCTGAGTGTGCCCTGGGTGTGTATGTGTGAGCTGCAAGTGTGCCCCGGGTGTGTATGTGTGAGCTGCGAGTGTGCTCCGGGTGTGTATGTGTGAGCTGTGAGTGTGCCCTGGGTGTGTGGGTGTGAGCTGTGAGTGTGCCCCGGGTGTGTGGGTGTGAGTTGTGTGTGTGCCCCGGGTGTGTGGGCGGGCTGTGTGCCCTGGGTGTGTGTGTGTGAGTGAGTGTGCTTCCCAGGTCCCTTTGGCAGTAACAGCTGGAGAGTGACAGGAACTGTCCTGAGCCCCTCCCGCTTCCATGCCGTGGAATGGGGAGCCCTAGACAGGCCCCGAGCAGGCCCTCGGGAACCCCTTTAGGGCCACGGGACCACGCTCGGCCAGGTAAGGGTGCTGAGGCCCCAGCTCCCCAGCCCTGGATGGAGAGCAGCCCCACGTCCCTGCTGTGAAGCCTGGGGCCGGGCCCCTGCACCCCCTCACAGGGGCGCCCCTTCCCCAGCTCTGCTTACCCTTGGACACCTTTCTTGGGGGGCTTGCTCTTGAACTGCCTGGTTTGCCGCTGCTTAAATTTGGGGGGTCCTTTCCTGGGGGTGACGGGCCCCCCAGTCACCCTGGTGGCCGACCGGATCTCGGGCTTGGGCAGTTCCAGGTTCATGGCCAGGTTGGCAGAGACCCTGTGGTGACGTTTGGCTTCTGAACTTCCTCAGGCCGTGGGCTGGGGGCAGATCAGGCGGGGGGTCGGGGGATCATCCAGTCATCCCTCCTGCTTCCAATCCCCCTCAACCCACCGGAGCAGAGGAAAACCCAAAACATGAGACATAGGGGGCCCTCAGCACGACTGGACAGCAGCCTCTGCCATGTCCACTCAGGGCTCCACTGGGGCCAGGAAGGGGGGCCGCAAGTGTACCCCTCCTCACATGCCTCCCCTTCTGCACTCCCTCCCCAATCCCTGGGGGTTGGGACACTCGTCTCAGTCACGTGGCATGAGGGGCACCCAGCAGCAAGGCGGACTGCAGAATGACTGGCAAACAGGGGGCGGGGTGCCAGGCAGGGAGCGGCCTGTCTCAGAAAGAGACGCCGAGCTGCGGCATCGTCGCCCAGCAGTGTCCTCCCTCTGCCGGTACCGGCCGCCGCTCGCCGTACTCGGAGCCCGCTCTGGGGCCAGTGTCACCTACTGGTGTCCTTGCACCACCGCGCAGGGGGACCTCCCCTCCTCTCCCCAGATCCCCTAAGCCCTGGTAACCTTGGCCAAGGTCAAGGGCAGCTCAGCTTCCTCTAAGCCTATTAGCACCAGAGGGAAAGCAATCCCTCAGGGCCGCTGGGGTCCAGAACATTCTGAGGCTAAGCCCACGACACAGACAGGAGCCACCGCCCCCTCACCACACTCCCCAGGCACCACCTCTTGGGTCTCCTTTCTTGCCCCGCATCTGGCGGGCTGCAGCGCCTGACTCAAGCCTTGGGCTGCCGACAGCTGCCTGCTAGAGTGTCCAGGCTGCGACCAACCAGGAGGCAAAGACAAGCGGCCCCACTGGCCAAAGGCTCGGTGGTGGGTGCTGGCACCTGCGTGGGGTGGACCCAGCCATGGACTCTCCCTCCCTAAGGCTCAGTCTCAGTGCTGGTACCAGCCCCAGCCCAGGAGGGGTCTAAGGCAGACCAGACCCTGACACTCACTCCCACAGCCCAGACAGCGTAGGCCCAAATAGGCTCCGTCCCCAGTCCTGAGCCATCGGCCTGGCGTGGGCAGCTCTGAGCCTGATGGAGCTGTCCTGTGGTGACCACCGCCCAAGCGGCCCCAGCCCCAGCCCTGCCTCTGGCTGGTGCCCACCCAAGTTGACTGAGCACGCGTGGCCCAAGGCTCTCAGACCATTGCTGGCCTTGGGGACAGCCTGTACCACCGTTTGACTTGGGGGGAGGGCAGAGAGGTGACCAGCTGGGTGTCCTCTCTGAAGAAGAGGGCCGTGGTGGGCTCTCACAGATCCAGGCCTCAACCTGGTGGTGAAAAGCCCATCAGCTTCCCACCCTCTGGGCAGATGCCCGCTAATTCCCCTGGGTAAATGGCCCCAGGAAAGGCAGCTGGGGAAGGTGACTACTCACCAAGCACTGGGGCGTCTCGGGCCGTGGGTCGAGTGGCTGGGCAGCCCTCACCACGGGGTCACCGGGCATTTATCCCACTCCCAGGTAAGCGGATTAGGACGGTTCCCTGACGCCACACTAATGAGATTGTCAAGGCCAGTCCGCAGGCACCGCCGCTGAGGATTCTGGGGGATGGGAAGGGGCTTGGTGTAGTCAGCACCTGAAGGAGGGACACACCGGGGAGGGCAGTGAGACCACGGACAGCGACAAGGGCAGGACTCTCTGGTAGCTGCTTGTCCTTTGAGACATGAACGAAACAGCACTGGCTGCTGTCTCGGGCCCCCCGCTTCAGTCCTGACTTCCAGGAGATCCCGCCTTCGTGGCCCCAAGCCCTGTGTGGCCTGGCCCCTAGCCACTTCTTCGGCCTCAGCTTTCATCCCGCCTTCCTGCCGTGCTCCAGGGAGCCCCTTCCACCCCAGGGCCTTCACACCTGCTGCTCCGGACCCCCAGCTCGCCCCTCCTGGGACTCAGGGCTCTTCCCCAGCATCATTTCCTTAGGGCGCCCCCCATCCCAGGTTGGACCAGGATGCCTAGCCGATAGGCCTCAGGGCAGCTGGGCTCTCTCCCTCATCACTTATCGTGCGGTTAAACGTTTGGATAATTTTGTTTTTTATCATAGTTGACGTAGGTTGTATTAGGTTCGGGTGTCTGACATGGCGATTTGACATTTATGTACCTTAGGAAGTGATCGCAGTAAGTCTAGAACCCATCTGTCGCCACGCAGTTATGACACTATTGTCCTATGCCGTGCATGACATCTCCGTGACTCATAAACTGACAGTTTGCACCTCTTATTCCCTCTCAGCTTTTTCACGAATCCCCCTAACCCCCCTCCCCTCTGGCAACCATCAGTTTGTTCTCTGCATCTATGAGTCTGCTTCTATTTTAAGATCCATATAAAAGTGAAATCACACGGCATCCGTCTTTCTCGGGCTTATTTCACTCATAATACTCTCTAGGTCCACCCACGTTGTCGCGAATGGCGAGATTTCCTTCTTAATGGCTGAGTGATATTCCACTGTATGTATGTGCCGCTTCTTTATCTACTCATCCATCAGTGGACACTTAGTGACTTCCACATCTTGGTTATTACTAGTAACGCCACCACGAACCCAGGGGTCCATATCTCTTTTCAAACTAGAGTTCTGGATTTCTTTGGAAAAATACCCAGGAGTGTTATTGCTGGGTCATAAAGTAGTTGTTTTTAATTTTTTGAGGAACCTCCATACTATTGGCCATCGTGGCTGCACCAGTTTACATTCCCGCCCACAGTGCACGAGGGCCCCCTTCTCTCCACGTCCTCGCCAACACGCTATTTGTTGATTCTTTGATAATGGCCATTCTGACGGGTGAGGCGTTATCGCCCTGTGGTTGGCTAACTGTGTTAAGCTGTCCTCCACACAAGTGGACTAGGGCAGATGCCCACGAGACCCTGGCGTCTGGCCCAGCGCCAGGTACTTCCCAGACGCTCAGTAAGCACCGGTGGGCTGAACAAAGACGAGGCGCGCGCCCGCAGGGCAGTCTCAGCAAGCCTGGTGCCGACGCTGCGCTGGCATCGACATGTTTACAACTAGGAGGGGCAAGGCCAGCGGCTTCTCTTTGGGAATGTCACATGGCAAGGGCCTTTGCCCTGACTGTTGAATCTAAAGTAAGGCTAATCCCATAGGGTCCACTGGGTGGGATGTATGTATACACACATACATACACGTGTAAACACATGTGAATACACCCACACGTGTGCCTATAGAAAACATGTTATGACTCCATATTTTTGAGGAAAACACAGAGGAAACCTCTTCCTACATCTGAGATAAGCTACCTCTGTGTCGCAGACCCCTCAGGAGCCCAGGGGGCACCGAGCTCCGCTGTGCTGCACTATTGGGAAAACTCTCTCTTCCACTTTCAAATCTGCACGACAGATCAGACTAGACGGCCTCTGAGATAGAGTCTGATAAATTGTGTTGCTATAATCACATTTCTCCGAACCAGTCAAAACTCTGAGAGCTTCTGGATGATACTCGTTAGCCGTGCAAGACAGGTGTCGGATGAGGTGTCCTCAGCACAGCACCAGTCTGCCTCTGGGCCACCGGTTTCCATGTCCATGTGAAGTACTGGCTTTATATTCAAGGGAAGGCCTATTTGTCAGCTCAAATCCCATGCAAGTGGTATTACCACCTTAGCTTCTCCCTTAAATAAACCTGCATAACTTCATGCAACCCCGCCCTGTCCAGGACACTGCCATCAGAGCCTGGAGTCGCTTCCGCCCTGGCCGACTGCTGTGGGAGCTGTGGCAACGTGGGCTGGAAGGACTGACCAGTAGCTAAGCGGTGCTCAGGTCCCTGAGGCTGATCGGCTGGTGGGTGGGTGTCTCCCCAAGGACCCCAGCAGCTGGGGGCTGACTGCGGCTGGGCGAATGGGGCATTTCCCAGCTGCCTGGTGGCGTTTGTGTCTGCCAAGGGCTTTGCCAATGGCAACTTCCCTGGGCCAGTTGGTGCTCCCTCCGCCACACTGCTCCGTAAACACCGAGGACCTTTGGGCGGGACATCTGGGATGTGGGGACATGGAAGGGGGCCCCTGGGGTCACTGTTGAATAGAGAAGAAAATGAGTCCTATTTCCTCGAGGCGCTCAGTGAACGTCTGATGACAACACAGAGGCCTCCAGTCTCACCACCGCAAAGACCTTGTTTATTCTCAGGGAAAGTCAATAAATAATTCTTCCGATTTCCACCCGACACAAGCCCACAGAGGGGCCGCGGACAGAGGAGGCCGTGTTGCTCCCCAGGCAGGAGCCCTCGGCGAGCGCTGGGCCAGGCCGGCTCAGCCTCCGCACCTCACGCGAAGCTGGATCTCCATCCTGAGAAAGGCCTTGAGGGTCTCGTCAGCCACGTGCTCCTCCAGGGCGGCCAGGGCCCGCTCCCCACCGTCCTGGTAATGCTGCAGCAGCACATCGGCATACTCCACCCACACGCAGTTGGGGCAGCCGCTCATGCAGCAGTTTGTGGGGGGCTGCAGCTTGGGCGGTGGGGGATATGGCGGCTCTGAGGGGCTCCCGCTGGGCAGGGAGGACTTGAGCTGCCCAGTGCCGTCTGCACTTGTCTGGGAGCCCGTGTCCACGGGATCCTTCCCGAACCCTCTGCGGCTTGTACGCACTGGGATCCGGGCGAGGTACCTGTGTAGAATGCCGCCGCCTCCAGGAAGCCTTTGGCACCAGTCCCAGCTGGAGAGTCTGCGTAGCCCCTAAGAACGCAGATGAGCCTATGAGTCCACAGGAAGCTGATAAGGCCTCGCTGGCCCCCAGCTCCAGAGGAGTTTTGGCCTGTCACTGGCAGGGGCTCCACGTTCTCCTCAGCTTCCTCACTTCCTGTGTGACTTTCACGGCTAGACTCGGTTTCCTATCCATAAAATAGGTGTAATGGTTGGTTTGAAGATGAGGTGATATGAGCCCAGCAGGCGTGGGGTGGCGGAAGCTGGGCACCTCCAGCTAAGACGGCTCTGCCCCCGGGGACAGGAATGGAGTGGGGGTGAGCTCCTGGCCACATAGCCACCTCTCCCTCTGCAACCAGTACAGCTGTGCCCTCTACTCTGACCCCGACTAATCGTATCACCCCTTCATCCCTGTTTCTCTCTGTCCCACGAGAAGCTCAGGCCGCCCAGGTCATCCCCCAAGAGCCTGTGGGTCCCCTTCCCTGCTCTACGTGTCTCCAGGGCACAGAACACTGATCGACACAGCCCAAACTTTGCTTATTTCGCTAACTCCTGAGAGCATCAGCTGCTGTTCACTGCGGCGTCCCCAAAGGGGCTCGCACAGGATGGGCGCTCAACAGATACTGCCGAACGAGTCAACGAACTCGGAACCCGGCTCTGCCCGGAATGACCCTTCCCGCGGGCCGGGCGCAAGGCCGGGCAAGGGCGAGATAGACAGGGGCGAGGCCAGCCGGGCGCGGGGAGCGTCTCCGGTCCCTGCCAGACCTGACATCTCGAACACGGCCCCGGGCCCCGCCCCGCCGGGTACTTGCCGGGCAGTGGGAAGCGGCGAATACCGCCCGGCCTCCCCGGGCCGCGCTC